AATGAAAAATTGTTTTTACTATCTGCTATTTTAGAGAAACTGATGACTGAAGAAAATAGACAATAAATGACTGAAGCCCAGGAATTGATTTTGATTATTTAAAATGTTACAAATACGTTTCGGTGTTTTTCTCCACCGAAAAACCCCGAAACGTATTTGTAACATTTTAAATAATAAACAGTAAAATTGACTGGAACCCAGGAATTTCTTTTGAATTAAATTGGAATCAATGTAAACTGTCCTGAGTCGTTTCTCACCGACGCTTCGCTTTGGTGTGGCGTTTCACAATGGCATGGCGCAACTCGTACAGACTTCTTTTTCGTCTCAAAACGGCCGATACTTAAAAATGATTATCCTTCCAGGGGATTACCGAGACTGCGAGACCTCTCCATCCAGCACACCCCTCTTGAAACCGTCTCGCCGTTTGCCTTCGCCGGCCTGCAAAACATCAGCGCCATTTTCCTCAGCTACAACAAAATCAAGAAAGTGGAGAGCTACGCCTTCGCTGGCACGATCAACTTGAAGCAGTTGGTGCTCGCCCACAATCCCCTACTTAAACTCGAGAGTAACGCCTTCACTGGAATGACCGAAATCGATCGCATCACGTTGCCATCGGGCATTCGGACTTTGGAGGCGGATTGCTTCAATGGGCTGGACACGTTGGGACATTTGCAGTTGGCTTTCATGGACTTGCGGCACTTGAAGGGCGGCATTTTTCGCGGCCTGACCAACGTCAATTACTTATCCATCCAGGAGTCCGATTTGGGGAACATTGAAGGGGACGCGTTCAACGACATGACCTTCGTCAGGAACCTGAACATACTCAACAACAAAATCGACTCGATTCAGTGGTTGAATTTTACGTGGGAGCAACACGTGGGACATTTACGGTTCCAAGGCAACCACATCCTGGAGATACCCAGAGCCGAGACCCTTTTAGTGGAAGTGGAAAAGTTGACTGTGATACAGAACCATTTTCCATGTGACTGCCACGTTCATTCGCTGCTCGATGGGCCGCTGGCCAATGGTAGTATGATTCACTTTGTCTCAAAAAACTACTGTATATCTCCTTTGGAGGTGAACGGGTTGCCGATGAGTAGCATAGACATTGACTCGATCGGGCGGTGTCAGGAGGAAGTGACGCGAGGCAACCTGGAGGCCTCCAAGGACTCGAGCAGCAGCGCTCAGCGCCTGAGCATCTTTTGCAGTTACTTGAATTTAATGTTGTACTTTTTGAAACTGTTGCGGATCACATAGGCCATTCCCGCCTGTTGTTGTCTCGGTGCGAACCAAACAGAAGGACTTAAAAAATTGTGATATTTTTTTAGATCGCTTTTGGCTCAGCAACATTGACAATTTGCCTGAAAATCATGGAGAAATTGGCCTAAAGGCTGTCAGCACTTTCTTACTACTGAAGGAAATTTTGGTACAGGATGCTTCCTCATAAGTTGACACCTCTTTTGGATCATTCGTTTCGAAAAATTGTAAAATGTGGTAAACACTGAAGTTGTTCATTATAACTCAGCTTTTAAAGTCTGCTGTTAAAATGAAACCTTTTCCACCCCACAACGTGTGCCCGGTAGTACTTTTTCATGAAAATTTTACATCTGGAATGGATGAGTTGGTTTTTTTCCCGTGGCCCTCCCATAGCCCAGACTTAATACCTCTTGATAATTTTCTGAACTATGTAAAGAATATTGTGCTTAAAAATCCAGTTACAACTTTTGATTGTTTACGCCTTAGAATAGTGGACGCAGTAAACTGAATATAGGAAATGTGTGGGTTTAAATGGAGGTCACATAGAGAATAACAGATTTTAATTTTATCGTTTTTCCTCATTTTTTTAAATCAAGAATTGCAAAAAAAATCGTTTTTTTACAAACTTCTTTTTGGGTATTTCGCCTCAAAAATGTTTGCCTTAAAAAAAGACATAATTTCCTCACGTCTTCTATTACTGATTGATAAATAGAGCTCCTATTTCGCAATAAGAACGAATTATTTATCAAAAAGTAATCAAGAACTATCACCTAGAGGATATCCTGCGACACACTTAGGCTCAAGCTGT